CTATTAGTTTTATTTTAAGACAAGTTTATAGAAGATATACTCGACAAATTAAATATAGGCCGTAAAATCAAAATTAAACAAAAACTTAAAACTTATAAAACTAATAAACCAGGTTTATTAATAAAAAAATGACTTACAATTTAACACAATATAATACAATATAATTTTTATCAAAACAGATATTTAAATTTGAACATTGTATAGTTATATTTAACAAAACTTTCATAATTCTGCTAGGTTCTTAAAGAGGATATGACATATTTTTACTTTTCAAGAATTAAGAGTTCTTAATACCTACATATTAAAACATAATATTATTAACTTAATAGTTGTTTTATTATAATGTTAGTACATTACTTAAACGTAACAGTTGTTATTGGAGTCGTTTCCGAAGACAATAATAAAAACTTGTTAAGATTAAAATTGAAAAAACAAAATAAGAAATACGTTTTACATTCTATTAGTTTCCAAAATTGTATGGAAAAAAAAGGAATTAAAAACCACTTACTCAAATTCGAATAACTCATGTAACTCATGGACATTCGACACATGGACAATCCGAATTAGCTAAAAAGGCTTGTCGCAGTTAGAACAATTATTACAGTACATGATGTTATATGATATGTTATTATTTATTTTAGCTGCAGCTGCTGATGGTTAGCATGGCGTGTTGTTGTATAAAGATAATAAAATAATACTATCGTCACCATGAAGATTAGAGATAAGGAGACCAAACTCCGTATACAAAATATGGCCCGACAAAAGTCGCACGGTTATTCTTCCACCAGAAGCGGGTCGTTCGATAGCAGTGCTACGTTTTACCACTTATTATACGTACTTTTCTATAAATGTACGTTCATTTTCATTTTTTTGAATTCGAATGAAATATAAATTATGATTTATTATTTATTACCTGGTCAGGTTAAAGTATACCTAAATATATAATCAAAGTTCAAAAGGGGTTTGCTATATAAAAAGTTTAAAATTCACATCATATAATGACTACGGTCTATGAGTCTAATTAATAATGATAAATGAAACATAAAATACAGATATGGTAAATATAAAAAAAATACATTAATTAAAGTTTTGACAACTTTCTACTACAATTGGTTTTTTCCTTTTTTTTTTGTAGTTTCATTGTAGTTTGAACGTCTTACAATAAAATGCATACGCATTGTAATAAAGAATTGGAATAATATGAATTAATATAGAATACGATTATAGGTTTGAACCGTTTTAGATTCAGGTGGAACGATGAATGTATTGATTTTACAATGATGTGTGTTTTATATTTTTTTTTTTTTTAATGTTTTTATTTTTTTTTGTGTCTGTGTACACGATAAGTAGTCGAAATAATGCTTCGATTTTCGACTTCAGTATCTTGTTCGATTTGAAAGTGAATATCGTTGGTGCATTGAGGAGGTCAAAATTTAAAATTCCCAGTACTTTTCAAAAGCGCCAAGAAAAACAAAAGAAAAATTAAGGAAAAAACGGGAATTTTTACGCAAAATCAGTTTTCGAGAAAATCGATTTTGGTTTTTGGTGTAACTTTAAAACAAATGACCGTAGGAACATAAAATTTGACTGGTTGTTTATATTTGCATTTCTATACACGATAAAATTTTCAAAATATTTTGATTTATTTTGAACTGTTTAGGGACAATTTCATTTTTCATTTTTTTTTAGTTTTTTTTCTAGAAATATCAATAAAATTTTATTTGTTGTTTAAAAAACTTGAAAATTTAATAAAAGGCTCCTAGTATATTGTTTCAAAGGCAGATGAAAAATATTAAAAATCGTTAGTCACGGTTTTTTTTTTATAAGCATTTAAAGTTCAAAAGTTGACAAGATATGGAGAAATCACGAAAATTAGCAAATTATTTTGAGTTACGAATTCGTAAAAATTTTTCTTTTTAAATCTAAGATTTGAAAATCTTTTACAAGATTACTCATAAGATTGTCTACCTTTATTAATAAAAAAATCTCTACTGGAAAGTGAAATTAAATTTTTATGAGCGTTTGAAATTCAAATTTTTACAACATTGGATATTCACTTGATTTCTCATGTAACGATTTGCTTATTTTGTTGTAATTCCAAAACGAATAACTATAGATACATGAAAATTTCACTGAATGTTCAGATTAGCAATTCCTATTTCCTATACACTGTACAATTTTGAAAATATTTCGATTCTTTTTGAGCTGTTTACGGACATTTTCAGTTTTCAATTTTTTTAGTTTTTTTTTCTAGAAATATCAATAAAGTTTTATCTGTTGGGCCAAAAAGTGTATAAAAATTTAATACAAGGTTCCTGATATATTGTTACAGTAGCAATTGAAAAATATTAAAAATACATAGGCACGATTTTTTTTATAAGCATTTAAAGATCGAATTTGACAAAATTTATCAAAATCTCGAAAATTATCAATCATTGTAATTAATAAATTATAAAATGTTCAGTTTTTATAGCTAAAGATTGCAAATTTAAAACAATGGTTTTCATAAATAGTTCATACTGTAACCAAAAAATCTAAAAAATATATGAACACAGTTATTTTTTACAGAAATTTTAAATTCAAATATGGACGAAATTACATATTAAAATCAATATTAACGATCTTTGTTTTTGTTGTAATTTAAAAATATTATTCGGGATATATGAAACTGAAAATCAAAATATTATGGCCTATCCATACAATCTACCATAGTATAAGGAAGAAGAATTATGCTCATGATAAGACTGTGCATATTTTAAGAAATTTATTCATAAATTCCATATAATTTAATACGATAGAAAAGTATATAATATGTCTTATACCTATAGACTGACATACCGTCTCCGCTCAGAATCGTTTTTCTTATACAATGATATTATATCATTGCATTCAAATTTAATACGATCCATTATACAGTGACCCACTTGTAACCTACAGTACAGCAGAGCGATATCCACTTACCCACCTTTTTTATTTTACTTTTGACCAAATAATTGCTTACTTTTACTATTAAATCATTTGAAATTATTATTCTTTTTTCAGATCTACTATTCCATATTGCAAGCACTACTTCATCATCAGTTAATCCAAACATCCATTTATTATCTGGTTTTTCTAATAGATTCAGATTTTCTTTTAAATACTGAAATGAAAATTCTTCGTGGGAATTTTCAACTGTATTTAAATATGCCTGACTTGGTTTAAATCTCTTTTTATCACTATTTATAGACCTTTCGAGAGGAGGTTTTCTCTTAACTGTATGCTCTGTTAAATAAAATGGTAAGTTCGGAAATATAGATGGAACTGCCCCAGCTTTTAATGTGGGTCTAATTCTTTTAATTTTATTGACTGTTCCATCATTTAAGATAGTCTCATAATAAATTAGAATATCATTCTCTTTGAAATGCACTTCACACACATAACACTTTTCTGTGAGGCATTTGGTCTTTTCCTAGATATAGCTCTATGCCATCTTGCTAAAAGCTCTGTGTTCTAAATATTATTTGTAACAAATAATTAAATAAAAAATGATTATTCATAAATAAGGTTAAGATAGTATGTTTTCTTACTTTGGGTGCTTTAAACAAACTTTTATTTTTTAATCCAATTTTTTTTTTGATGTTTGACATCTAAAGCATAACCTGTATTTAACCCTGGCACGAAACAACAATTAACCATTTTTAATGTGTAAGAAATAAACACAAAATACAAATTACTATGTTTTATGGTTTAGGAATAATAAATCAAGTTTAATCCGAAAAACGTACATAATCCCTATTATAATTATTATACTACATGCTATAATTGTACAACATAGCACTGCTATCGAACGTCGCGCTCTTGGTGGCAGAATAACCGTGCGACTTTTGTCAGGCCACTTTATAACACAGACTCACGGACTAAGATATAATGGACTGGAAACGAGCAGCTTATCATGGCCACGAATGTATGTACAAGAGGCAAAGTGCGGGGGGTCGCTATCTGTTCTTGGAGTTCACAGCGCCCTCTATATTTAACACGGACTAAGATACAAATTGTGTAGCCAAATAAAACCACCGGTAGCGCTGAAAACTTCAAGAACAGTATTCTTATCAGCTAAGTGACATCTTTTCGTGGCCGTCCCCCGATCCCCGCCGACCATGTCGTTTCCAGTCCATTATATCTTAGTCCGTGCCACGGACTAAGATAAACAGGACTGGAAACTATAGACGGGAGGAGTGCGGGTAGCCGGAACCATAGTGTAACGCTTGTAGTACATGGACAAATGTGGCTCTATCTATTGATAATATTTAGCATTTGTTACACATATATTTATTTGCATATTATTTTTGTTTATAATGTGGGGCGACAATCCAAAACGTACTATTGCCAAAATTGAAGAAATTGAGTTACATAATGATTCTTATAGAAATTAAGGCAGGGAATCGAATAGTGCAATCAAATTGTGACAAAACGTACCTACTATTTCCCTTGTTAAAATCAATCTGAAACTCATAAATGATGCAAAACGCACTATTTCCAAAGCCAAAATTTGTCTAAATGCACTATTTCCAAAATTACGTCAAAACGTAGTATTGTCAATGTTAAATAGTTTGTTTATTGACAAATTGACGCAAAACGTACCAATTCCTCGAATTGTACAAAACGTACAATTTCCAAAGTAGGCTCATATGTACTATTTCCCTAGTATGAAGATAGGGAATATAATTGAATTGAATAAATAACGTACTATTTCCAAAATCGTGGAAAAATAGAAAATCGTGATTTCTCAAAAAAGTGTAAAATGGAAATAGTACGTTTTATATTGTCGACCCACAATTAGGTACAATAGTTTAATACATTTATACCACGGACTAAGATAAACTAAGATAACTCTATTGTGACTCTATCTTAGTCCGTGATTTATGCGCACCTATTAGCTCTTAGGTAATTCTGCAGCTCCCACTAAAATTTGCCCTAAAATTACAAAGAGACACTTGATTATTGACAATTTTTCAAAAATGTCTGTGAGGTTAGCTACTCAGGTAAGTAGTAATAATAACAAAATATTATTAATAATATTTGATAATAAACTTTTGTTTAATATTTATTATAATTTTAGGTTCTTAGTGATTCGATGGCTAAGGGTATCATATTTTATCGAGACCATGAAGGCATTGAATCATTAAAAGATAGCCACGAAACACAACAATTTGTAGAAATTTTTAATAAAACATTCGATGCACTCAATCGCAAATACCCAGCTGAAGGAATCAGAATTAATAGTCATGATTTTTATGTTTGTTTATTTATCTACAATTTAATATTTAAATATGTATAACTAACTGCATGATTATTCATAAATCATAGGTCCTAAATGAAACATACACCTGGATAAATTTATGGGAAAGTAATGTTAAGCATAAATTAATTCCAGAAGAAGAATATCTGACAAAAAATACAGCTGAGGGATTAAGAGTTACTATAAGATCTACCATAGAGTTATCTACATATCTTTTAAAAGAATGTGGATTTAAATACGTTTTATCCTCAAAAATGAATCAAGATCGCTTAGAAGTAAGGGTAATTATTTAAAATAAAATACATCATTGTATAATTTATTTTCCCCATAGCTATTTTTTGGAATGACACGTCAAGCAACAGGACCGAATGATCATCCAACAACTCCTACATTTTTGCAAGTCTATAAAATGCTTTCCATATACTCAATTTTAAAACCCCCAAAAACTGGAAACTGCAAAATTTTGGAAAAAAATACACCAAAAATTACAATAGATGATATAAAAAGTATTTTTGTTGAAGATAGTGCTAAGAAATCTGAGAAAATGTTAAAATTACAAAATAAACTGGATAGCTTACTTACAACTGGAGAGTTGGAAGTTGAAGATGTTTTTGAAAATGACATACATAATTATTGTACTCCATATAAATCTCAAGTTTCAGATTGTGTAATATATTACATTAGTGGTTTTGTTTGTAAGCATATTCTAAAACATACAAAATGTGTTGTATGTATAAATGCAATTAAAGGTTAGTATACATTTTTATAATTGTTTAATATCTAACTTAAAATAAGTCAAATGTAAAAATGTATCGTTCCATTTTTGTGTATTAATTAGCTAATTAAAATATTTCTAGGAAAAACGTATTCAAGCAAATCTGAAGCAGCTTTTACTAACCTTAAATCAAAGGTAAAATTAATTCATCCTAATGAACATTTTTATAGATTAATTGTAGCCATAGAAAATTCTTTTTCAAAAAATTGTAATAAGATGTCAGTATTTGAGGACACTTTTGATGATGTTCTGGATAATAACGCCGGATTATTAATATTTCCTTGTAGTGAACATAAAAATGAAATTTTAATGTTTATCCTCAAGTACTATATTACAACAAGAATGCGACAATATTCCAATATGGAAAATAAAAACCAACAAAAAATAAATTCAAAGAAAAAGAAGTCTGCTAAATTAGTTATTACTTAAGTCTTAATTGCTTTTAATTTAAAATTATTTTCAACAATAATTTAAAATTGAATCAATACAGTGTATACTATGTACTTTAAACAACAAATTTATTTCAGTTAGATATATAAGCAAAGATTATTAAAGAATTAATAAAAACTTACAAGTTACAAGGATATATTTATTTTTTTTTTTTATACTGTAACGAATAATGGTGATCTACACTGATGTATTAATATTTCGTAGAATGGATCATAGATGGCGTTAAAATCGCCCTTGTACTAGAAGCGTTACACTGTAGTTCCATAGATGACTATCTCGTTTCCAGTCCTGTTTATCTTAGTCCGTGGTCCGTGCACAGACTTCTATACTACACTAGATAAGGAACTCTTATACAATTTACATTGTTACAAGTGAAGCTCAGCTGTGAACGGCCGCCATTTTGTCGGTTGGCAAAACATTTCATTTATTATACAAAATGTATTAGGAATAATATTTTTTTTAACGGTCAAATAAAATAGTAAATGTAAAATTACTTTTATAAAAAATTTTTTATATTTTGTAACCTAAATATTTAGAAATAATAAAATACGATATAAAATAAATCATAATATCATCTTATTTTTCATATGAAATACCCACAGACTTCTATACTACACTAGATAAGGAACTCTTATACAATTTACATTGTTACAAATGAAGCTCAGCAGTGAACGGCCGCCATTTTGTCGGTTGGCAAAACATTTCATTTATTATACAAAATGTATTAGGAATAATATTTTTTTTAACGGTCAAATAAAAATAGTAAATGTAAAATGAGTTATATAAAATATTTTTTTTTTTTTGTAAACTAAATGTTTAAAAATAATAAAATACGATATAAAATAAATCATAATATCATCTTATTTGTCATATGAAATACCATACAATTGCCAACCGACCTTGAAGCTTCAATTCATGACCGGAGTTCGCTATCTAGTAATATATAGAAATCTGTGGAAATACCATACAATTGCCAACCGACCTTGAAGCTTCAATTCATGGCGGGAGTTCGCTATCTAGTACTATATAGAAATCTGTATAAACGAGCGGCTATAGGAGTTTGGTCTCCTTATCTCTAATCTTCATGGATAGTACCACAGTTGTACTATCCACAGATATTAAATAAAAATTTTTATATATCTGTGGTACTATCTTAGTCCGTGAATATCGATATCGTTGAAGTATATTTTTTTTAAATATATTTTTTTAACCAAAGACACACTACCCCCCGCCGACCATATATGCTCCATCTACTAGTATAAAAGCTCTATGGTTTAAAATGTAAAAACTACTTGGAATTACAACTTCCTTGAGTTGATTATCAAACCTCGTGTGTTTTCAAATGAAATCACTGTTATGTTTTTTTCCGCCAAGATTATTAGCGTCAGGTTTGTTTTCCTAGCACTTCATTGTTTTATCTTTATTCTACTTAATATAAATGATTAAATTGTAATTTTGTTTTATTTCCTATACTTTCTGAATTAACTTTTAATTAGTTTCGTTAATTTATACTTCTAATCAACTAGTGAATATTGGAATGTTTCCGTTCTAGGTACTTCGATTTGTTCAAATTTTAAATTTAAACACTTAAATATGGACAAGTATGAAGGTTGGGGAACCACCGAAAAAACCGAATTGTACGTATTTTTTCACGTTGCCTATTTTATTATATTATTTCATAATATTCTAGTATTTTAAAAATTGGTTTATTTATATATAATTTTTACTCTGTTTTAGTTTGTCAAAATGTCATGAATTTGTTAAAAATTCTAAATCTGAATTTTCATTAACTATTACAACTAATGGCAATCCTACTGGTACGTTGATAAATGAACTATTTAAAGTTAAATTTTATCATAACATTTATTTTAATACTATTTATTCAAAATAAATATATATTTACATCCGGTTTTTCTGTTCAATTACCTTATTTGGTTCAAAGTATAAATTTGTTTAATTAAAAACCCATTAGTTTGTATAAATAATGTTGTAAATTATTGTTTACAGATTTGGCCAAAGCTATTCTTTCATTGTTAATAGCATGTATTAAAGGAAAAATAAAAACAAACCTTGGTTTATCTATTTTAAGTGATCTAGTAAGTATAGTGATTGTACCAAATTTGGTATTAGCCTCTCCTAACCTCCATCATTAACTTTATGTTTGTGAGTCCTAATTAAATTCATGAAATACATTTTTCTATTTATAATTTATAGCTTAGTAATATTATGTTTAAAAATATTTTATAAGAATTGAATTTGTTATTGATAATTTGTATGTTTATTTTTAGTGTTCAAATGAAGAAATAGCTTCAGTCGTAATGGATGTCTTCAATTACTTAGATACTGACACAGCCCTTTCGGATAACGGAGGACCAGAAAGAGAATATTTCGGAAATTTTGTCAAAGAATCGCAAAAGGTTAATATTTATTATTTAATTAATTTTTAAGAACTTATATAGTATAACATATCTTTTTTTTTTAGTTATTGACTGACAAATTACTTAAAGAACGATTAGAAATTGACTCATTAAAGGATTTAAAGTTATTAAATAATATTTTTTCTACAAAATTTATTAAAATTAAAACTAAACTTTTGTAAGTAATTAATTTTTTATTTAAATGTATTTGTACCGTTTATAAACTCAAATATTGATTTAATTTTTAGCTATAAACAGCGAAAATATAATTTATTTCGCGAAGAATCTGAAGGCTATTCTAAATTAGTTACAGAATTAAATTCTGATAATATGGATCCTAAAATCATGGTTGAAATTATTAAATCATTAATTGGTTGTTTCAACTTGGACCCAAATCGTGTGTTGGATATCATTTTAGATTCATTTGAACACCATACAGATAATAAAGCCGAACATTTTTTTATTCCATTATTACATGATTATATGCCTGAATCACAGAGGCTAACTGAAGTATTGGCATTTAAATTACGACAAGTGAATAATTTAACTCGCTCTTCTTACAGATTGATTGCTTTATTAATTCAATACGATTTAATTGGACTGGATAACATTTATCCTTGGGTAAACTAGACTATGGTTATATTATATTATTTTTCAGTTATATATTAATAATTTTTGTTTTTCAGTTAACTCCAGATGATAAAGATATTAAAACAAATTGGGAAAAAGATATAAAAAATGGACAAGATTATTTGAGGAAAGCATCAAGTATGATCATAACAAAAGCACCGGAATCTGAAACTCCTGATGATAATATTCAGCCTAAAGTATGTTATAATTTTTTAATTTTCATTATTATGAGTGTTACATTGTTAATTTTACAATTTTAGCCTGAAGAAAATCAAAAATTTTGTTTATGTGAAGCTATGTTAGAAATTGGGGATTGGAATACTGCTCAAGTATTAATTAAAAGATTCCCAGAATACTATGCTGTAGAGTATCCTCCTATTGGTGATGCACTTTGCTCTCTTATAAATCAAGTCATTAAACCTGTTTATAATCAGTAAATATCTATTTTGACTATCTTCTATAAAATGTAGTAGTTGTTATTTTAAATTGTTATTTGACATATTATAGGGTTTTTAATCTTCATTCAAAATCCGTAAAACATTCAACTGATGATCAACCAAATTCACGTTCTCTTAAACATGTTTTAACACTAGAAGAATTTCATGATGTAGTGTTACCTATGTTAATAACATTAGGTCCTGGACTACACCGTGATCCTGTTCTTATGTTTAAAATTGTCAGAATTGTTAGAGAGGCATTAACTAATGTACGTGTTTTTAAATTTTATATTTTTAATTCAAATATTAGTAAATATTTAAAACAGGTAATACTTTAATTTTGATTTATGTGTAATTTAGGAAGGAATTAAAAATAAAGATTATGCTCCATCTGAAACGGGTTTTTATTTTGACACATTATCATTATTGGATCGTGTCTTATTACCTACTCTTTCATTAGCAGAAGGAAGTAGTATTTCAGAACATCTGTGGTCTTTATTGCAACTTTATCCTTATCACTGCAGGTACTTGTAATTAATAAAATTAATTCGAAATTGTTCTTATTATTAGCTTCATTAAATTGTTTCATATAATAAAGTTTATTTATTTATTAAAAACAGGTATGCTCTTTATAACAGTTGGAAAAATGATACACATAAATATCATCCAAAATTGTTAACAAAGAAAGTTGATGTTCAGAAAAAGGCTAGGTCTGTAATGAAACGTCTTTGCAAAGATAATACCAAACCGTCTAGTCGTGTTATTGGAAAAATATCACATTATGCACCTGGTTATTTATTTGATTATGTAAATACTAAATTTAATATATTTTGGATAATATTTAATGTTATTGAACTAAAGTTAATGTCAGATGTTATCATATATTTTTAGATACTGGGACAAATTCAAGTATTTGATAATTTGGCTAGCATTGTGGTTGAATGCTTAAAGTACATGACAAGTTTGTCGTTTGATGTTCTTGGATATTGTATTGTGGAAACATTAGGCAAAAGTGGCCAAGATCGAGTTAAACATGACGGTACTTCCATTTCAGTGTGGCTTCAAAGTACAGCATCATTTTGTGGTGCCATATTTAAAAAGCACCCTGTAGAACTTACGGGTATTCTTCAATATGTAGCCAATCAATTAAAAACAGAAAATAGGTATGAATATTATAAAAAAATCTTGTGAATTATTATTATAATATTATTTACTCATAAATTTAAATTTCTGTAGTTTGGATCTTCTTATACTTAAAGAAATTGTGTTGAGAATGGCTGGTGTTGAGGTTATGGAACAAATAACTCCTGATCAGATTGAAGCAATGTCAGGTGGTGATTATTTAAAAACTGAGGTAAGAGAACATGAAAACTTTATATTTTATACATTACTAAATCTTAATCAATATTTTACTATTTTAGGCTGGTTACTACAATCAGATTAGAAATACAAAAAAATCATCTATTAGACTGAAAGAATCATTATTAGATAATAA